CCCTGCCCTTGGGGCGTTCGGTGGAGCTCCCACTGGAAGCATGAAACGTGTGAGGGGTGTGCCGAAATCGGTGGCGCGGACGCGTGTGGACACTGCCACTGGGGCTTTCGGTGGAGCTCCTTATGGGGCCACAACGCGTGTGAGGGGCGTGCCGACATGGGTGGCGGGGGCGCATTTGGACACCGCCACTAGGGCCTTTGGTGGAGCTCCCTATGGGGCCACGAAATGTGTGAGGGGTGTGCTGACATGGGTGGCGCGGGCGCATGTGGACACCGCCACTAGGGCCTTCGGTGAGGCTCCCTATGGGCCCACCAAATGTGTGAGGGGTGTGCTGACAGGGGTCGGGCGCATGTGGACCCTGCCCTTGGAGCTTTCGGTGGAGCTCCCAATGGGGCCACGGTGCGTGTGAGGGGTGTGCCGACATGGGTGCCGCGGACGCATGTGGACACCGCCACTAGGGCCTTCGGTGGAGCTCCCTATGGGGCCACGAAATGTGTGACGGGTGTGCTGACATGGGTCGGACGGACGCATGTAGATCCTGCCCTTGGGGCTTTCGGTGGAGCTCCCACTGGAAGCATGAAACGTGTGAGGGGTGTGCCGAAATCGGTGGCGCGGACGCGTGTGGACACTGCCACTGGGGCTTTCGGTGGAGCTCCCTATGGGGCCACAACGCGTGTGAGGGGCGTGCCGACATGGGTGGCGGGGGCGCATTTGGACACCGCCACTAGGGCCTTCGGTGGAGCTCTCTATGGGGCCACGAAATGTGTGAGGGGGTGTGCTGACATGGGTGGCGCGGGCGCATGTGGACACCGCCACTAGGGCCTTCGGTGAGGCTCCCTATGGGCCCACCAAATGTGTGAGGGGTGTGCTGACAGGGGTCGGGCGCATGTGGACCCTGCCCTTGGGGCTTTCGGTGGAGCTCCCAATGGGGCCACGAAACGTGAGAATCGTGTGCCGAAATCCGCCGACTCTGTCGGCGTGTGTGAGGGGCTTTTCCGTTCGAGCCGTCATCTCCGTCATTCTTTGTACTCGTCGTCTCTGTCCTTCCCTTTCCCTGGGAGACCTCTTCCCCTGGGCTCCAGCCAAGCCGACCTTGAGCAACCTCGTAATTGAGTCGAAGGGAAGCCCCTTCCCTTTGATCCCTCCCCCGCCGGGAGGGGGGGGGGGTAGCGACCCCCCCCCCGGGTCAGATACGACGCCCCCCCCTGGGACTCCTCTTCCCCTGGGCTCCAGCCAAGCCGACCTTGAGCAACCTCGTAATTGAGTCGAAGGGAAGCCCCTTCCCTTTGATCCCTCCCCCGCCGGGAGGGGGGGGGGGTAGCGACCCCCCCCCCCGGGTCAGATACGACGCCCCCCCCTGGGACTCCTCTTCCCCTGGGCTCCAGCCAAGCCGACCTTGAGCAACCTCGTAATTGAGTCGAAGGGAAGCCCCTTCCCTTTGATCCCTCCCCCGCCGGGAGGGGGGGGGGGTAGCGACCCCCCCCCCGGGTCAGATACGACGCCCCCCCCTGGGACTCCTCTTCCCCTGGGCTCCAGCCAAGCCGACCTTGAGCAACCTCGTAATTGAGTCGAAGGGAAGCCCCTTCCCTTTCATTCCTCCCCCGCCGGGAGGGGGGGGGGGGTAGCGGGGGGGGGTAGCGACCCCCCCTCCGAGTCAGATACGACGCCCCCCCCCCGTACCGACCTTGAGCAACGTCGTCATTGAGTCGAAGGGAAGCCCCTTCCCTTTCCCTTCCCCGACGGGGGGGGGAGAGGAGGTCCCGGGGGGGGTCCCGGGGGAGTCCCGGGGAAGTCCCGGGTCAGATACGACACCTCCCTCCCCCACCTTCTCGTCCTTCTCCCCGTTCTTCCAAACCATCCCACAGCCCGTGCCTCTTGCTGCGCATTGCGAACAGGGTCGGCGGCACCGGCCGTCAGGCCTTCGCAATCGGTGGCGCGGACGCGTGTGGACACAGCCACTAGGGCCTTCGGTGGAGCTCCCTATGGGGCCACGGGACGTGTGAGAGGTGTGCCGAAATAGGTGGCGCGGACGCATGTGGACACCGCCACTGGGGCCTTTGGTGGAGCTCCCTATGGCCACGGCGCGTGTGAGGGGTGTGCCGACATGGGTGCCGCGGACGCATGTGGACACCGCCACTTAGGACCATCGGTGGAGCTCCCTCTGGACCCACGAAATGTGTGAGGGGTGTGCTGGCATGGGTCGGGCGGGCGCATGTGGACCCTGCCCTTGGGGCTTTCGGTGGAGCTCCCTTTGGGGCCACGAAACGTGAGAAGCGTGTGCCGAAATAGGTGGCGCGGACGCATCCGGACTGCGACACGGAAACCTTCGGGGAGCTCCCTATGGGGCCACGACACGTGCAAGGGGTGTGCCGACATGGGTGGCGCGGACGCATGTGGACACCGCCACTGGGGCGGTCTGTGGAATTCCCTGTGCGGCCACGAAACGTGTGAGGGGTGCGCCGACATGGGTGGTGCGGACGCAGGTGAACACCGCCAATGGGGCCCTCGGTGGAGCTCCCTATGGGGCCACGACACGTGTGAGGGGTGTGCCGACATGGGTGGCGCTGACGCATGTGGACACCGCCGCTGCGGCCTTCGATGGAGCTCCCTATGGGGCCACAAAGCGTGTATAGGTGGCGCGGACGCATGTGGACACCGCCACTGGGGCCTTCGGTGGGAATTTCGGTGGAGCTCCCTATGGGGCCACGACGCGTGTGAGGGGTGTGCCGATATGGGTGGCGCGGACGCATGTGGAGACAGCCACTGGGGCCTTCGGTGGAGCTCCTGATGGGGCCATAAAACTTGTGAAGGGTGTGCCGAAATCGGTGGCGCGGACGCATGTGGACACCGCCACTGGGGCTTTCTCTGGAGCTCCCTATGGGGCCACGACGCGTGTGAGGGATGTGCCGAAGCTGATGATGATGATGATGATGATGATGATGATGATGATGATGATGATGATGATGATGATGGTGACGATGATGATGATGATGATGATGACGATGACGATGACGATGACGATGATGATGATGATGATGATGGTGATGATGATGGTGATGATGATGATGATAATGATGATGATGATGATGATGATGATGATGATGATGATGATGATGATGATGGTGGTGGGGATGATGATGATAACGATGGTGATAATGATGATTATGGTGGTGGTGGTGATGACGATGATGGTGATGATGATGATAATGATGATGCTGATGGTGATGATGATAATGACGGCGATGATGACGACGATGATGGTGATGATGACGACGACGACGATGATGATTATGATGATGATGGCGATGATGATGATGCCGATGATGACGATGGTGACGATGGTGATGATGACGACGACGATGATGAGGATGATGACGATGATGATGTTGGGAGGAGGGAGAAGGGGGAGGAGGAAGGAAGGAGTGGACGCGGGGAGCTGTCTCTTCAAAACGAGGGCCACACCACAGGATGGTTGGGAACAAAACCAAACGTATCTAGTCATACAAACAGTTCAAGGCAAAAAGGCATAAAACCCTCAGGTGATCCATGAAAAGACCTTGCAGGTTTCCTGCCCGCGCGCGCATGCTGAAACCATAAGAAACCATATGGACTTGGCCATCTCCACCAGAACCCGCATTCCCATCTCACAACGAGGTGCACCAACGTTGATCCAGCATGCGCCCAGTGCGCTAACCAATGGAAAGAATACCATGAAGGGAACGTGCGCGCGCCACCACGCGCGCGTCAAAAACCATACGAAGTTCAGGATCTAGCTGTGCAAAAAAATGTGAAAACCTAATGTTTCACAAGTCTGCCAAGTGTCTCAAATTTCCGCGCGCGCGCTTCCTCACCACCCCGCCCTCAGCGACGCCGCGTTGCCGCCGTTACTGCCATCGTGAAATGCCGCCATTGTCGCCATCATCAGTCAACCACCTGTGCCACCGACCCATGGACATCATCATCGTTACCGTCGTCACCAGCATAGGCGCCGTCATTGGCCTTGCCGTAATCATCGTCATCATCGCCACCACCACCATCGCTAACATCATAACCGTCACCGCCGGTGCCAACGTCATCATGATACCGCGCCCGCTCGAATCACCGACCCGCTATGACGCACCCGTGCGACAGCGCGGCCTCTGAGACGCGTTCAGAAGTTCCAATCGATTAGAGCCATCGCGGCCGCATCACTTGTGCCAAACCAGCTGATCGCTCTGCGCGCGAGCTTGCGCGCGCTGGCGCAGCCGAAGAGATGCGCCAGCCAGGGCCAAGTAATCACCACGATCGCGGCCGCATTGAGGCGCGCAGGGAGGTTCCAATCACTAAGCGCTATCGCGGCCGTATCATTTGCGCCAAACCAGCTGGTCGCTCTGCGCGCGAGCGTGCGCGCGACAGCGCGCCAATGCCGCCGCAATGACGACGGCCGAACTTAATTGCACCTCATAGCTGCCACCGCATGGCTTGCACCACGTAACTTCCACCACCTGTGTTCCACCACACAGCTTGCACCTCCAGAGTGCACCCAATCACCGTTTGGAGTCTACGCTGGCCAGCGTGCATGTATGCGTACGTTCAATACTTATACACACAGACTGGGAGAAAGAACGGGAAAGCGAGAAAGAGAGAGAGAGAGAGAGAAAAAAAGTCGAGAGAGAGAGAGAAAGAGCGAGAGAGAGAGAGAGTTGACCCACTATTAAGGAGGGTCAATATGGACGCAAATCCCTTCTGCCACTCGGTTGGGTTCGTTATGTTGTGTTGGAGCGGAGTCGGCAGCTTCGGCGTAGGCATAGTGAAGTGATGTCCTGCCCCTTATCCTGATAACGCGGACGCAGCGATACAGATCGCCCTGCATCAGTGGACAGGCCTCCGATCCACACGGTCTGCACGCGTTGGTGAGAACATCCAAGTCTGGTCCTAGCTGCCTAGCTCACACGCGACAGATCAAGCGGCACTAGGCACGTCGGCAGAGAGCACACAGCGATGGGCCAGTAGGGCACAGGTCAAGACAGATCCATTGAAAAAGGGCGAGCGCAGCAATGGAAAAGCGCGCTCCGCCATCCGATATCCAAGAACTCACGCGCGCGCAGCTTCGTGAGGCAGTCATTCCACGTCCCTGGTCCTTCCTCTAAATTCTGACACTCACAGGCAGGGCACCCTGGATTGTCCAGCGAGCGTTCCGGCAGGCCCTGCTCGGTCACTGATGGCCCCCTCTCCTCACGAGGTGTTTCATTGAGCGATGACTGGCAACACGGAAGCTGAAGCAGAACTTAGGCAGGCAGAGAGTCGCTGATTTCCAGCCTCTCAGGGGCATAAGGCAGAAATTCGCCAGAGGGGGCGGAGGCAACTGACGGCGCACACGGGCGAGCAATGGCCAGCACACAACGGCAAGTAAGGGCAGACAGCCAGACTGGCAGGCAGGTGGACGGGCAGGCAGGCAGGCAGGCAGGCAAGGGACATACGACAGGCAAGAGTAAGCACGGCTCATCAGCAAAACAGCTGTTTATAAGGTCTCGCCAACATGGAAAGACTGAGGCGAGTAAAGGAGACCAGACGAAGCAAGCACGAGCTGGACAAGCTAGCCTAAACAAGAGAGTCAGCACCCAGGGCATGCAAAGAACGATCACGAAAAGTTAGCGGATGCGATCTAAGGAAGCATGCGAAAAGATTCATTGACGAAAAAGGCACGCATATGCAGCATGGGTAAAGAAGCAATGACAGACGAATTGGCAAGCAGAGATAAGCACAAGCATGCAGAGGCAGGGAAAAGCAAGCAACCAAACACGAATGAGCGAAGATCATCAAAGGGAGGCGGCAGGGCGAAGCACAGAGAACGAATGCAGACGAGCAGAGGCGATCGAGGGTAGGCAGCACCAGACGCAAAGAAATGCTGAGGAACACCTCCAGAAGCATCGGGAAGAAAACTGGAGGCACCCGCCGAAGAATCCGTGGGCAGGCACGACGACAGACTCCAACATCCCCGCAGGCGCCCTTCTTGCAGCGCCCTGTCGTCGGCCACGCACCGAACCGGGTCAGCACCGACCCAGGTCAGCCAAGGCGACGTCCCGAGGTCAGGCCGGCCACGATGCAGCTCCCGAACCCATGTCGGCGGAGGCCCAGGGAGGGGGAGGGGTCGGCCCCAGATGGCTCCCAAACCTGGGTCGGAGGGGATCGGCTCACCCCCGTTGCCGCTGACCCCGGTTGCCTGCCCACACGTGACAGAAACGGGCATGCGTGAACGCACGGGCGACGATGCAATCTGCGCTTGCTTGGATCTGAGAACCCCACTCCATCCTTGGCACCCATAGAAGCCTGAGCATTTTCTTAGGGTGGAGGGCTCAGGGTGACATCCCTCGGGCTCTTGCACCTCGAAAACCAATCCGTATTGTGATAAGTTGTTTTGCAAATTCAAATCTCGAAAATCAATCGAAACGGCATTTCAGATTTCACCCTTTGCCCTCCACCCAAGGAAAAGGCTCGGGAAACGGTGCAGCGACAGACCGTGCGGCGTGCGGTGACCTCAGCATCTCCAGAGACCTCACCGCACGGCCTGCCGCGCACGGTCCCAACACCTGGTGACCCCAGCGGCCCGAGACGTCCTCGGAGAACCACCCGAGCCCCGAGCCCCAAAACCGTGAGGTCACCCCGAATCCCCACTGACTCACCACACTGGCCAGCCTTCGAATGTTTGGTTGCCAGGCCGTAGCTCGAGTCTTCCAGAGGCTGGTCGGAACGATCCAGGCACCCCCAGAACGCCCTCGAGGAGGCGCAGCTGCTGGAAAGCGTCCAGAGGCGAGAATCCCTCCAAAAAGCCACGAAGCCGTCCGAAGACCTACTCCAGATTTCGTAATAAAAGGGAGGGGGTCTCATTTCGGGGGGGGTCTCTTCCAGGCTATCTTGGAGGGCCTGGGGGGGTCTGGGGACGATGTTTTGGAGGGTTCTCCCACGGGGGAGGTCTGAAATGGCTTGTCTTGGAGGGTCCAGACCCCCTCCCTTTTATTACGAAATCTGGAGTAGCATTCGACATCCCAAATCCCGCACCGTTTGGAGAGGCCTCCGAACCTGGGACGAGGATAAACTCGGATGAGGATAAATTGAGCATCTCTGAGATCTGGCGGCTCTGGAGGCTGTCTCCAGCGACACGGCCTCCTCCGAACGCTCTGGTACGGATTGATCCTCGTCCTGGCCCCGTCCGGCTCTCCCCCTCTCTGCTCCAACTCCTGCGCGCGCCGCCCCACCCAGACACCCGGCTCCTCAATTCTTTTCGATGCGTGGGCCCTGGAAGCCCGGACCACTTCTCCAGGACCCGTCCTTCGTCCTGAGTTGTTGCTTGACGGTCCCCGGGCCCAGCGAGGGCCCCTGGAGGCCGAAAATCGGCGGTGGACAAACCTCCCTTTAGTAAACCTCCCCTTAGTGAAAACGGCCTGGGACCGAAACCGACGGACCTGGACCCGCAAAAATGACGGCCGCGACGCCCTCGCGCGAACCGAAAACGGCCAATTCGCTAATCGACGTGTCAGGGTAGGAGGTCTGTCCACCCCCGAGAAAACAGCCCAAGACCGCCCGCTCCGATTCTTGTGGGAGCGTCGGATCTCTGGGCAGAGAGCGCTTCGGGAGCAGCCGCTCCGCGGCATGCTCGACCGCTGGGGAGCACTCCCTCCCCCACGGCAGGCCCGAGCGGCGGGAGCCCTGTCGCTCCCAGGAGCGGAGCGGCCAGCCCGGCCTCCTCCTCCTCCTCCTCCTCCTCCTCCTCCTCCTCCTCCTCCTCCTCCTCCTCCTCCTCCTCCTCCTCCTCCTCCTCCCCCCTCCACTTGCGCGTCTGGTGGTGCGGCGGGCATGAGTCATCCAGAATGACTGCCTACCAAACCACCCCAACCCAACCCGAAGGTCCAGATTTCGGGTTGGGGGGGGTACGAGTTCCATCCTGTGCTTTCCATGTTCCCGACGCCCACCCCCCCCCACACTGAGAACGGAGGGCAGATTGGGGCCTTCGGGTTGGGTTGGGATGGTTTGGCGGGTGGTGAAATCCAGAAGGAAGGACGACGGAGGAGAAGGCGCAGGGCTCGAGCTAAACAGTGCTTTCCGTTCTCGTTTTGCTTTCGTTCTCCCTCGCTCTGTCTTCGGTCCGACTTTGCTGCAAAATGGAACCAACACGAAAACGTTCCACGAAATCGCCAAAACACAAATTAGCTCGAGCCCTGAGAAGGAGGAGGCGGATCGGGAGAAGGAGAATTAGAAGGAGGCGGCAGAGAAACAAAACAAAAAAAAAGGGAGAGAGAGAGAGAGAAGAAACAAAAAAAGAGAAAGAGAAAAAGACGCCTACGGCACGAGCGGCGAGCGTATCCAAATCCATGGCCTCACGGTCTGGATCCCAGGGGCGCGATCCCGTGGATACGCGGTCGCATGGGGCACGGTTCCGCGCGGGGCACCCGCGACAAAAAAAAACGCTCCGCCTCCGCGGGGTCGCTTTTCTGAGCCCGCTCTAGCCGTGGAGCCGAGAACCCCCATGCAGGCCATCCACCGAGCATTTCCTCTGGGTGGAGGGCAAAGGGTGAAATCTGAAATGGCGTTTCAACTGATTTTCGAGGCTCGAATCTGCACAAGGTGAATTCACAAGACGGATTGATTCTCGAAGTGCCAAAGCCCATATGGATTTCACCCTGAGCCCTCCACCCTGAGAAACTGTTCAGATCCAAATGGGGTCCGAGCAGACGGGGTCGGAAGGTCGCATCGGCGATGCATCGGCGACGTCGGGATGGAGAAAGCTGGGGTCTGACGGCGAGCCCTGCGGCCAACGCGTCGGCGATACTGATGAGATAGTATGTCGATGGACAAGATATCTCTTTTCCATCTTGAGCCAAAATGGGTGCACGGAGGAGGGTGTCAGAATCACTCCTCCTCGGGCCTGGCCGCCAACCCGGCCAGGCACGACCTACGTCGTACGCGGGCGCGCCCAAGCCGACGCGCCCATCTCATCAGCTAGGCTGCGGCCATGCCGCGAGCCCCTCACTCCGTCCGGCGCGATCATACCGCCGCCGGCGGAACCTCATCCAGCCCCACAGGTAGCGGAGCATGGATTCGATCCACTCCATCACTTGAAGTCCTTCTGAGTCAAACTCGGTGTCCGATCCCAGATGTTGAGCGTCGCCATGTGTCTCCTCAAAAGGGATCCACCCACGCTCTTGGTCAGCACGTCCGCGACATTGTTCTTACCAGGAACCGCGGCGATCGAGAGGTCGCCCTTACCCACGCGCTCCTGGATCCACAAGTATCGTGATTGAACATGTCGCATCTTCCCGAGACCCCGCCGTTGGACGTGGCCCCGGGCCGCCGATGAATCCGAGGCGAGCTCTACCTTCAGGTCCAGCCCCCAGTCCGCGAAGAGGCTGTGAAGGCCCAGGCCCACGCCCCCGCCCTTCACCAGGGCGTAGTACTCGCTCTCTCCGCTGCTCAAAGAAACCGTCGACTGCAGATTACTGCCATGCTTGACGACATGATGCCCCAGCATCGCCACGAAGCCTCCGGTGCTCTTCCGGGTGACTGCGCAGCCCGCATGATCGGAGTCCACGTACACCCGGATCTTGTCGAACATCTTCTGCTCCGTGAAAACCGTCACCGTGCTAGGATGCCGCTTGAGGTAGCGGCCAACCCTCTTGAGCATGAGCCAACTCGCCTCCGTTGGCGTCTGCATGGACCTAGCGAGCGTCTTCGATGCCTCTGCCAAGTCCAGCCTGTCCTGAGACAGGTAGGCCACCCTCATGGTGAGGGATCGGAAGCGCGAAGCTTCCGCTGCTCCCAACGCCGCCGACTTCGCATCCATCATCTGCTTGTCGGCGCTGCGCTTCTCCATCGGCGTGTCCACGCCGTTGGCCTTGCTGAGACCCAACTCGTCGATCACGATCTCCGCGCGCCGCTTGTCCGGCTCGATCATCGCATGCCGGCAGGGCCGGCCACCGCCAGGCGGAACTCCCGCACTGACCTCGATGACCCGATTCAGGAAGACCGCCTGCTTGTCATCGCCCTCGTCGAAGCCTAGGTTCGCAGTCTTCTTGAACTCGTACTTCTTGCCCAGCGTGGCCTCGAAGCTGTCGATGTCCTGCTGCTGAGCCAGCACCGCGAAGTCGTCGCCGTGCCCCAGCAGCCTCGTCTCGTCCACCTCCTTGTAGAAGACCGCTGGGCACGACACGCCCGCCTTGTAGCCGTGTTCCTCCAGCAGCTCCGTGTAGTCGCCCTGCCAGATCTTGCTGGCGTCCTGCGTGCCGTACCAGGACTTGAGGAGTAGGCCGCACTTGTCCTCGCCGTACTCCTTGCGACTCTCCTCCTCCAGCTCTACGAAGATCCTCCGCTGCGCCTTCCCGTAGAAGTGCGCCCTGCTGATGTCGAAGAAGCCGATCTTGAAGTTGCCCGGCTTCCTGCCCTTCTTGCGAAGCGACTCCTGAATGTGGAGCGGTGCTTCCCGCGTCCACGTGACCATCAGCGAGACCAGCGACCGCATGGCCTCCAGAGGAGGCATGGCCGAGAAGACCTCGGACGCCTCCAGCTGCTCGTCGGGGCGCTTCTTCGCCTTGATCTCCTTCACGACGAGCCTGCTCCTGTAGTTGGGCCTCTCCGCGTCACCCTTGTTCGTGTCGACCCACTTGAGTGGGATGGGCGGACGCCCAGTCTCGGCGAAAGCCTGAGACCTCGGGACGATCTCGATCAGCTCCTGCTTCTTGACCCACTCGCGCTCGACCGCGCGAGCCTGGGCCACAAGGCCCGCCTCCAGGTAGCCGCCATTGACGTCGTCCCAGTAACTCGTCCAGTCCCCGGGCGGCACTGCCGCGTCCACAGGGACTGGGCCCGACTGCTGCACCTGGGCGGTGCTGAGCTCTCCCACGTCATCCAGCGTGTCCTTGAGCTCCTCCAGCACCGCC